TGTAGAAATGTAAAAAATCAAGTTTGCTGAAAAAATGGTTTTTCTTTCTCTCATTGACTAAGAAAAACTGTATTTTTGTGCATTAAAGGTGCAGTGTACTACTAAAATAAATATATCTAATTTTTTAAATTTCTGTTTTATGCTCTCTCTCTCTCTCTCTGATAATTTTATTAAGAAAAAAAATATTATGTGTTGCTCTCTAATAAGAAAAATGCTTTAAGATGTTATTGCCTGGCCGTCACGTAAAGATCAAAAAAGCAAGTCTTTTTTTAAATATCTTTTCAATTATAATAATAGGTAACTAAATATATAGAGGTAATATTATAATTATTTAATATAATTTTTTAGATAGCGGCGAAATTGTTAATAGAATATCGTCATTATCTACTGTGAAAATCTGGGGATAATTAAACGGAGTTTTGATCTTGATCAATGCTATGAACAGCACAATTAAGTTGTTCTTAAACTCGTGTCTATCATATGAGAACTTTTTCAATGTGTTTATATTTTACTATAAGTTGCGCTCTAAGAATGTAATAATTAAAATATTTGTTAAAACAAAAATGTTATTAATTTATTTTTATTACTAAAATGACACAGGCAGAGTTACCTCTATTAAACAATTACCATACGTGGAATCCAAATGCAGGAGTTGGAACTGTTTTTCTGCAATCACCAGTTTAAGGGAGTCACTACATTTATTGACGCGGAATCGCCTTAGTTGAGCCGGTCAGAAAAACCTTTACGTCCACTCGTAAGAGCAAAACATCGTCGCACATTTTGCTTCCGCTCGGATCGCCGACGCGAAAAGCACATTTTCGCTCTTATTATACAAAGATTTTTCACAATGCTTAAAACATGATGAACGAAAGATAGAACTACTACAATAGATCACATATTTTACCTGACTAGACATGTTAAATTCTACTTAAATTTAATTATAACAATGTCATTGGACATACACAACACAAGGAATAATCAATCAATTAATAACAACAAAATAACTAACTATCAATGTCATATTTAATATATATACTATAAATACTATTATATCATTATTACATTATACATACATACACAAATTTCATGTCACATTCTCTAAAAAATCAAACTCGCGCAAGTCTCGCCCTGTTGTGCTTGCCCTGCTGACCGGCTTAATGTGTCGATAAGTGCGGTCACTACCTAATATGACGATTATAAAGACTTAGGTCGTTACTTACCCTCCTCCGCCTCACAAGGCAACGCCTCGGCTAGAACTGTTTAGAAGAGGAATTTCATTTATTCTTATGTACAGAAAACAAAATATAAATAGTGACGTTTTTTAAGTCAACTTAGATATTTAGGAAGTCCACCTTACTAACGACACGAAATCAGCTTTAAGCGAGCGTAAAAAGCCTATGTCCATGCAATAAAGATGAAAAAATACGTTATGCGTTTCGCTCCGATATGGTCCAAGTAATTGATAAGGGCAGTAACATCATATTTACCTTTTTGGAAAGGTCTATAAAAAATAAAGTGGAATATTACGTGCAGATGTAGAACAATTAAAACAATCAAACTTCACTTATTCATTTATGCAGCACGAGTACTAATTAATACTGTTGTAAGTAAGGCATATTAAAGTTTGTAAACATTTTAAACCTAAGGTAGGTTTCAACTGTTTACAAACTTTAATATGCCATTCATAAAGCTAATAATTTTAAGACACGAGGGATTACCAAATGTTATTAACATCTTTGCAAAACCAACTTGTTTATGTTAATTATGACTAAGTAATAAAGAACCTTAGTCACTATTGTTTACAGACAGCAAACATTGCGAATATACACAAAAGATCATAACAGGAAAACGAAGAAACTTTATTTTTGTCTACAAATAAAAATATTAAGACGTCAAGCGGTTATTGATGTACCTCTTACCAACAAAGAAGCAGTTAATCTTTTTCAAAAGGATTTTCAAATGATAGGCTAACACAATCGTAAGGGAAACCATGTCGTTGAGGTATCCATTTAACAGGGTTTCCCTATCAATAGGATTAATCAAATGAAAGGGGTTTCCGGTCCTTGTACGGGTCTCACAATAGACTGGATATTTCGCCAAATAAATAGTTACCAGTTCATGTTGACTTCCTCTCCACGCAGCGGTCTATCTGTTTTCTATATTAGTATTGGGTGGTTGATAAATAACGTCACGATGAAAAAATTACGATGATCCGCCGTCAAACAGTATCACCGTGTCTCGTTCCGAAGGAACGACGTTCCAAAGTCACATAGGTGTTCCTCCGTTCCAATAGCTATCCCCGTCACTCACATCACGACACACGTATTTGATACAATACGCGATCTCCGTTCCGTGGTGACTGAGCGCGCCACTCGTTGTAGTTCTCTTCAAATCGGGCCATTTCAGCGATGGGAGTGAGTGAGATAGGATGACTTTCTTTGCTCACTCACAAGGGTCGTAGGTGCTTATTACTACTAGAAAGGGCAGATGAAAAAAATCTGCAGCATTTACTATAAACCTTTTTTGTTAACAAAGTAAAATATTTTTGTACATTTGTTTTATTATGGGAAGAGTTGGTATTTTATATTTATGTATAATCTACTTTGTGTATTCTACTAGAAATATAATTACATTACACTTTATTGATATTTTTAACAATCCAAAGATTCGCATTAAATAAGTAACAAACAAAATTACATTAAATACAAAATCAACTTTTTGAATGGAATTGAAATTTATTACAAAGGGAGTAAAAACTTAAATCATTCTATAAAAAACGGGTTTAAGTATTAGAAAGAAGCCGCTGGCTAAAACCGTATATCGTGATGTAAGTTATAGGCGTGACAACGTCACGGAAGTAACAGTCGTGACAACTTCGTTTTTGGAACCGGAACGACAGTCACGGTGATAGAAATGTAACGCCCATGTCTAGTATTGGTTAAATTTATTTTTTTCTTTTGGATTTTAGTAATATCCCATTCGTTATAAAAGTAGCATATATACACATAAAAAAATTATTTACTAAAATGTACCCACATGTTTTAAAAAAGTACGCCTATACTTCTCAGTCTACGGCCTATACGTAAGCTGGTGACATTTTTTTTAATGAAGTTCAATAAATAAATAAATGATTAAGTAACATTTTCTATTATTCAGCCTCATGTTAAAATTCTTTTAATTTGTAAAACTAGTTCAGGTTGATAGCAATGCAGCTAAAACCATTAAATGAATTTAAAAATGAGGAACACCCGAACGCTCGTTTTCATACTTACCCAAGAAAAATTTAAAATTAAGATCGGACAGTGTGGCTCAGCTCAAACTCCTTTGCCTGACCCAGAGGACAAACATTCTACTACACTACGGCGAATATTTTAAATTCCGGTTTTATTCCGCCAATTTAATGTTATTCCTCTACTCGACTAGTTACAGTCAATAGCTAAACCTGTGGTGGTTTAGACAACACTTAGCAGCATGAACTTAATCGAATCCACTCTCAACGACTTTTATATGGAGCCAGCACGCTCCACTCTAAACGAATTTTGTAATGGGGCCAGCACGCTCCACTTCAAATGACTTTTATAATGGAGCCAGCACACTGTACTCTAAAACGAATTTTGTAATGGGGCCAGCACGCTCCATTTCAAATGAGTTTTATAATGGAGCCAGCACACTGTACTCTAAAACGAATTTTATAATGGCGCCAGCACGCTCCACTTCAAACGAGTTTTATAATGTTGCCAGCACGCTCCACTCTAAACGAATTTTATAATGGAGCCGCACGCTCCACTTCAAACGAGTTTTATAATGAAGTGAGCACGCTACACTCGAATCGAATTTTAGAATGGAGCCAGCACGCTCCACTCTAAACAAGTTTTATATGGAGCCAGCACGCTTCAACGTAAACCTTACTTGGGTAACAAAAATTTATATGAATAATCCATTTAGCTCGTTCAGGTTACTTCTACCTACTATGTTTTAAATAAATATTGTAAGAAAATACCTATTTATAAAGTGCAATGCATAGTATTTTACTCATTCTTGGTCAATGCTTTCTTCTCAAAAATACATCTGTCTCATGAAAGTAGTATTTAATCAATTTGGCGATTTGAAGTGGTTTCTGTCCAAGATAATTTGTAGTACATAGATATCGTTGATTTTTTCGCA